AAAGATTTCGAGATACAAATGAGATGGAAAGAGGAAAACTTTTGTGTGGTCTGAGTAATTTAACTATAAACCCTGTTGAGGTCGACACATTTTCCCTTATATTGAAAAGTTTCTTGTATTTCTGTTTAGTTTTCATACCATATATTTAAATATCTTGTTTTACCTAACTGACACTGATATATCAGAACGCAAAGTATTTTCCTCAGTACCTGTAACCAAAATTGCGCAGTACCCCTGTTACGACTTAAAACCACTGGAAGCTGTGCCCTGTCAGTTGGCGCATGTGCATACTTGTTTTCGTCATGCCAATAAAGGGAGTGCCATTTCCATTACCGACCTTGCAGGGGAGTAGCTGGGATTTTCAAAGGGGAGGAGAAGCTGGGGGATACATCAAAGCTAGAAAGGCTGCATGCCTTGCATGAGGTGGTTCATACTGCCACTCTACCTTAGTTGCCCGAGGGCCTCAGTTATAAAGGAGCTGATTACCAACTAAAAATGCTCTTGATTGTCAAAAAATCAAGAGTAGGGCACACTAACCACTTAAGTCCAGTTGTATAAAGGCTAGGTCCAGTTGTATACCCAACAGATAAATCCCTATCCAGCGGATAACTGTGAAAAAACGTAGAGCACTATCCACCAGATAGAGATTTATCCTGTGGATAGCATTATCCATGCTTTGAACCGAGGCGTGGTCACTCAATCTAACAATACCATTATACAGTTCCTCCACATCACCTCAACTTTCACAAGTATTTTTTGAAAAAATGTGTTGCTTTTATTATAATTAAATCACCCCAAAAATTTTAATGCTTGAATTTACTTACGTAAACAATTATATACATAAACAACTGTTGTATCAATTTACTATACATCACTCAATGGCTGCTAGCAGCAGTCTATTATAAATCTGATTCGTTTAAATTTATCTTGTTATCATAACTGTTCTTTTTAGTTATCAAAATTAACTGTCATGTACATGACCACAAGCTACTTATAATATTCACAAATACATATTTCAAATCCTTGTCAAGTTTGGTCAACCAGTGAATTCTTAGGATAAGCAACTCAGTGCATAGCAGTAACACTTGTATTGTTCAAATGAGACAAAACATTTTTGGATTATAAGTAACATAAATACCAAATGCAACATTTTTTGCACAGCAAACTTGGCCACGTACAAAAAAAAAAAGCTTGGCCTCATACTGGTGTGACCTGTGTCTTGGGGTAAAAACTTTTTTGCTCTCGTAATTACAATGATACTGTTTCAAATTTGTGCATATTATGTGGTAGTATATTATAAACTGAACATGATTCTACTGCCACTTTACATTATACACTGGAACTTGAGCTTGCTAAATAATATTTAGCCTCATTGCATTGAGGTTGGTTTTCATTAGCGTCTTAGTTGGCGACAGAGTCAAACTGATACAATGTGGAAAACAACCAAACAAATCAGAAGCAAAGTATCAACACTGCTTGTGACTCTGTTGGTTATGATCTATAAAAACTACCATAGTATATATGCTGTTGCTTGCACAATATAGTTTTGTCAAGACCATAAGCATCAAATTCAAAAGCAGAATTATATACAACTATTTTCAGTTGGTTGGGGCTTGATGGACGTCTAAATTGTGGTGTTGTCACTGGCCACTGGCTTTGTTTCCAGTGTTTTCAGTGCCAACATGTTGTTTGACCTCTAATGACAGGCTCTCATGTTGCTGGATAGTTTTGACCCACAGCTATTGAGATTTAGTTACCTTCGGAAACAAGGAAGGTTGCTCATGACCACATTGTTACTCTACAGTCAAAATTCCCATTGCCAAATATTTCTGCACCTCACTCAACTGATTATCATGGTAGAACAAAATGGAACTGCTCTGATTCTTTCCACTCATGAATATCCTCTCAACTCCAATTTTTTTCACCCAAGGGGAGGTGCTCTTACAAATTTGAGTACCACTTCAACACTGTCCCAAGTAAACACCAACCATAATGAGGTTCACTAAGCCTACACAAAATAATAAATTAATACATCTTAATGTAACTTAGGCATCAAGATGCTTAGGCTCTGACAAGTGCTCTGACAACCATCATAATATACAAACTAAAATTTGCCGGCACTTCATGTCTTCAAAGTTCTCAAGTTTTTTCCTAACCCTTGAGATTATATTTCTAGCATAATGCTGAGAAATTCTTAATCCACAAGTTTTGCATTTAATTTTAGAGAAATGACAACTGTTGCAGTGTTTGAAATTAGAGCTTATCCATGTAAGCCTCACAGAGTTGTGCATGTGGATTAATGCACATGCTTACTCTGTTAATTCATACGTAAATTCAGACAATTGTACCCAGTTTGTGTCTATTTGCACAGATCCACTGGTGGATTTGTAACCGTTCCAACATTTGGTGATGATCACTACCTTGGAGAACTCACAGTAATGGGAATGCATGTGAACATATGTCAGTTTTTCAGTCTCAGCCATTTTGTTTGGGAATGTCATCTCACTAATGAGAAGCTTGAATTGGCATTGTAGGTGACAACATTGACAATGTCATCTTTTGGAATGTAACGACTGCTGGCATCTAAATTAGTGTTATCAAAGAATCCACTCTCTTCGTAAATCTGCAAAACAAACACCATAGACAAAACAATATCAACATCCCTCCTCTCAACCCATTTACTCTCAAGATCTGATTATTAATTGTTGCCTCTAGCTGCTAAACATTTCCTTACAAATCAGTTACACCTGATTAAAAAAATATAGTGAAACTTCTATTACACGGACACCCTCTGGACCTTCTCAAGCGTCTGCTTACCTCCTAAACCCCCAGAAGTGATAAACAAGTAACTTCTCCCAATAGTATCCATACATCATCCAGTAAACAGGTAATGAGAATATTCAAACTCATCAGGTGCAAGATAATTATTACCTTGATTGAACACCAAGTTCTTGTAACTAATTTACAAGGAAATGTGTGGCAGCAACAGGAGAGAATTAACTATCAGATCTTGGGAGTTAAAGAAGGTGTCCGCTTAATAAAGGGTTTGTATGAATTGCACAATGTATGTTAACAATCAACATTCAACAGTTACCCTGTACTATGATTAAGGTCCATGTTGTTAGCGAAGCTATCTAGAGTTCTAGTTCATAACTTTTCATGACCAACTAATAATTTGATGGTAATAATGCAAAAACATTTAAAGAAAAACAGTGATGACAAATTATGCACTGGACAATGACTCTTTGGATTTATTATATTTAATAGACTCTTTAATCAAGGACATAATCCCATACTCTACATTGTCAATTCAGTCTGGTGTCCACTTAACCTTTGAACTCCCAGATCAAATTTGTAATTCTCCTTGCCGTCAACCATACAATTCTTATAATGTTAGTTTAGAGAATTTAGTATTGGATCAAGTAGTTATCCCCAAATTGATATTATTCTTTATTCTCATCACTTATCTGGTTGATAATGTATTGATATTGTAAGGAAAAATTCTGTCTTGGTCACTGATGGGAGTTAAAGGGTCAACAGAGGTTTTTAACAAAAGTGTCTGCATCCACTTAATGTCCACTTAATAGAGGTTTGTTTGGGGAATGTGAAGTCCGATAAAAGAACTCTTAAATCGGTCAAAGTTTTCCTTTTGTATCAATCTTTAAATGTGTCTATCTTTTGATTTATAAAAATGTAACTAGCGCTGTAAACTGAATTGGAGAAAAGCATCACATAAACCTAGCAATTAACAAAGATGAATCTAAAAATTAAAACTGTGAAGTTATTTCGTTTGTTAGTTATTTTCAATAATAAATTTATTCATAAAGCGTAGTCCAATTGGCGATTAAAATTAGAGGTTGTGAAACACTTTCATTGTAACAATTAACTGATAAAGATCCACCGCAATTAAAGATTCTAAAGGACGGACGGAAATATTGTATTCTCTTTCCGTAGTCTCCTTAACTTTCGAGATTAAAAAAACATATTAAAAATATTATTCAAACAGGAAGTTAGGCCAGAATGGGTTACAAGCCTTTGAAGTGACCCATTAATAACACAGGTGTATCCTACGCTCTGTCTGCGAGAAGACAACTGCGTGTTAACTAAATCGAAGGATGAATAATTAGCAAACAAAGAACGATATCACGAAGAATGCGAAACGACGAAATTCGACATCGAAACAAGAAGTGGTATGACACGTGTGATTACATTACATGAACAAAATATTTCATTAAAGGGTTAGATTACGTATCGAAGAACTTTGAAGTAACTGTATGTAACTGTTAGTCTTGCTATAACTAAATACGAATTGATACGCAACAAAATAAATTAGAACAGTTTTGATCGAAACTACGATTGCCCTCTGGACGGAACCAGTTCGAAAAAAGGAAAAAATGATTTGAGGTAAATTTCGAGAAATAACAGCTGGCTCAAATTCTCTGTGATCATGTGTTTGATGTAAGATAAGCATTCCTTTACCCACCTGTAATCTCCAGAATGTTAGTGATGAATGAAGAAACAATAAACCCAGTGCAAAGCTCGATACAAACACGATGAAGAAATGAAGAAGAACCACGCGATCGAATCTTAAAAAAAACAACACAGATCGTCTGTCATTTGTCCAAATCATAACTTGTACTAATGTCATTATTGTCTTACTTGCTGGCAGTATCCCCGCTTGTATTTGTGCAAGTAGAAGACGAATTATTGTCAGAGACTTTCCTTTCCCGTTCAGCCATTTTGCAATTGTTGTTGATGACTGCGTTCATAGTTATTGGCTGGAAGGTTTGGTTCTACTTCAACGGAATTGCTGCTCAGCGGTCAACTTAAAAAATGACGTATGTTCTTGCACAATCTCGAGCCCAGGGTCATTTGAGTTTCTTGTCAGCGGTATAGTTGCAAAGAAATATTCTAACTCTCGTGCATTATACACCACACAGAATATTAGGTAGAGCCTGCGCTATTTTTGTCAGCGGAGAGGAAAACAAAAAAATGGCGCCTATTTCGCTTAAAGATCCAAACATACAGGCACTTGCCGAAGAGTTGGTAAAAGAGCTGACCAGTTTTAAGGTAATTGGTATCTTTTTTACCACAGTGTAAAATGATATTTCTGAAAGCAAATCGGTTTCATTTTTTCCAGAGATCTTCAAGAAATTTTACTCTCTCTGTCCAGTTCGTCTTATCTAACTTTCGGTGAGTTGAAATTTGATTTTGCAATGGTAACATGTCTCAGTCCTTGAAGCATTGATGAGGCACACGTTTGACGAAAAATGCAGTTATAAAAAAGAAAAAGGTTTCTTTAGTTCCTGCTAGTTTGTGATTTTAAACTCAGATTTCTTGACGTGTCGTGTACTTGTCGATAGGCCGTTTGTTGATATATTGGTCGTGGTTTGCAAAAGACACTTGACCAGATTAAGTAAAAAAGGAAATCCAAAATAACTAAGACTGCAAGCAATTAGATTTTCAATGCAGTGATTTTTTTCAGTCCCTTTTTGTCTTAAGTGGGCTTACTTTACAGGTACCACCAGTTTTTGGATGTCAATAGCCAAAAAGTGGAAAGGAATATTGATGGGTGAGTTAATATCAGGGGATATATTTGAATAAAAACTTTTTTTGAAAATGAATAAATTGTATTGCTGTGTAATTAATTATGATAAATTTAAATTATTTTGCTCATGCAGTTTTGAATTGTTACAAGAAATATGCTTGGTAATTTTTGTGTACTTAACCCAGTAACTCCCAGAAGTGATCAAGATGTAACTTCTTCATAATTATTCATACATTACTTAGCAAATAGGTAATGAGAATACTCAAACCTTATCAGGTAGAAGTTGTTATCTTGATCTAATACCAAATTCTTGCAACAAATTTACAAGGATATGTGTAAGAGCCAGTAGGGAGGGTTAACGATCAGATCTTGGGAGTTAAAGGGTTAAATATCAGAGCAAGTGACCAAGACAGAATTTCTCCTTACAATATCAGTACAATATCAAGCAGACAAGTGATGAGAATAAAGAAAAATCTTAATCAGGGGATTATTAGTTGACTCAATACCAAATTCTCCAAACTAACATCACAAGAACTATATGGCAGACTGTAATGAGATCTTGGGAGTTAAAGGGTTAAAAGACATTATAATATTTGAATGAAGAGACATACACAAAGTTAAATGAGATGTGCATTCATGTGATGTATTTTGCTTGAATCTTATTGACAGTGTTTGCCAGAAGCTGAAAGTTCATTCTCAGTTGGAGAAGGCAGAAATTTTGAGAGATTTATGTAACAAGTTTCTGAACTTGCCTTTAACTACACAGTCACAGGAATTGATTAAGGTACATTTTATTTGGGAGTAGGTTATTCGGAATTTTTTTCTAGCTCATGTGATTTCATGTATCAAACACTTAACCCTTTCACTCCCACAAGTGATCAAAACAGAATTTCTCCTTATAATATCAATACAATATCAAGCAGGCAGGTGATGAGAATAGAGAAGAATATCAATCATGGGATTATTAATTGATCTAATACCAAATTCTCTAAACTAACATCATAAGAATTGTATTGCAGATAGTAAGGAGAATTACCAATTGGATCTTGGGAGTGAAAGGGTTAACCCTTTGACTGCTAAGAGTGACTAGCATCTAATTTCTCCTTACAATATTACACCTCAATCACCTATTATGGTAACAAGAATAACAGAAATGATCACCATTTTGTCAAATGGAGGTTGTCATCTTGATCCAACACAAAATTCTTATAACGTCTAGATGAGAAAAAGTGTGACAGCTTGACAGAAGAATTAACAATCAGATCTTGGCTGTTAAAGGTTTATCAATGAGTAACTGCTTGTTTTTTTTTATTAAATTTACAGACAGATGCCCATTATTCTCTCATCCTGTTATTGTTAACTCTTGCTGATTCTCCAACTAATGTTGATTACGAGCCACCTCAATCTCAACAATCTTCAGGTATGGGGAAGGTTTTTGCTTGGTGCCTGTTGCTGGCTGAGTAAGGGGTGATCCCCATCTATAATTTGGGTGGTGATCACTTTGTAAAGGACAACAAATGGCTTGTAGGTAATGCACCCACGATCCTATGATATCAAAACATATCTTCTCAGTAATAAGGTTTAAATAAACTCTTGAATATCTTAAGTATCAGCACCATTTTGAAAAATAAAGGAATTGGATTAAAATCCTGTTTTGAGCAATTGTTTACCAATTCCTCTTTATATGTCCTGCGTTTGCCATTAACTGATTCATGAATAAATTGCACTACTGAGAGCCAATCAGATTGCAAGGATTACCACTGATTTCCAAATGAATGTAGTATAATTGAATATCTTATATACACATCAATTTGATGTGATTGTTGTTTGCGTGATATGTCATTTTGCCTTGAAGTCCTAAAATTGGTTGTCTCTTCTGTGTTTTAATTATAGAAGAGGAGTGGTTTGACTGGAAAAGTTATTTACTTGATGGAGAAGAAGAAGAAATTCTTGGCCTGCCTGTTCAGTATGATCAGGTATTGACTTTGATTTACCAATTTTGTTTGTTATTTTTGGAGGAATTCCCCTAGAGTAAACAAACATGATATTCATAAAATAGATTGTTGAATCTCTGAACTGAGTGAAGTTTCTCAGTCTCGATCTAATATTTTGATAAAATTGTTTTTACATGATATGTTATTTACTTTGTGTTACATTTGCAGGATTGGTCGGATGAAGAGGTAAAAACATTTTTCTGTTGTAAATAACATTGTTTTAGATATTGTGTCTTGTTTGCCAACTGTTGAGATATCTTTGGTCCACCATGGCCATGTTGCATTTTAACCCTCAAAGTCCCACTAGTGACCAAGACAGAATTTCTCCCTACACTATCAGTATGATATCAAGTAGACAAGTTATGAGAATAAAGAAAAATATCAATTAGGGGATTATTGGTTGATCCAATTCCAAATTCTCCAAATGAAACATCACATGAATTGTATAGCAGACAGTAAGGAGAATTACCAATGAAATCGTAGGAGTTAGAAGGGTTGAATGTTTCACTCTAAGATGAGAGAGCCAACTCCTCCCACACATGACTATACACTTCATGATTTGCTAATGCTGAGAATTGCATATTCCATCAACTGAAGGCAATATAGCTTGGTTGATAATTTTTCCAATTCTTAATGCGTCACTGTTGTTATTGTAATAATAAAAACAGGGAAAACTAACCCATGAATCAAGTTGAGAGTGAAATGGTTATTTAAAGCTATTATTCTTATACAGGATGAGGACTTGGATGTGATCAGTGATTCTGGGATCAGCGCTGTTGAGAGGCAATTGGCTGACAATGAAGAAGAATCTCAGAGAAGTGTAGAGCACAATGTCAGTGATAGAGAAGGGATCATAAGCCCCAGGGATGGCAGGGTACGGTTACTGTAAATAATAATGGAATATTAACAGATATTCAAAGGAATCTTGACTGGTCAGTTAGAGTTTTCATTGAAAACTTTAATAGCAGCTTAATAGGCTAATTGAATGGCTAAGTAACAAGTTTGTATTTTTCATCCTCGGAATTGTCGGTTACTCACCAACCAATGCCAACAGCATTGCCCTGCCCCCCCTCCCCCTCCTGAAGAACAAAATTTAAAATCTAAGTAGTTTTTCTGTTGTTTTTTTTTTTACAGGACGGAAGCTGGATTTCAGATCACATAGTTCCTCAATATTGGGAGAACACATCCAACAATTTCACTCACACAAACACATCAGAATGGAATTGTTCCATAGCAGAATCATGGTACAGTACATCTCTATTTAACCCTTAACAGTCCCTAGCATCAGCATGCAAACTCTCCATACTATGCTCTATACATTTCCTAAGGTGCTGACAAGGAGAATTTGTTTAACAATCAAGAGCTTCTTTAGTTGGTGATCATTTTCTTTTTTCTCATAACCTAAATGTGTAATTTGGGGATGATATTGTAAGGAGAAACTAGATTTTGATCACTCTTAGGGGTCAAAGGGTTACAAAGTCTTACATAAATGTTTAGGATCAATATCAGTGTCTGGGCAACTGCCCACTTACCCCTCCCCTAACCCAACATTAACCCTAACTTGTTTTATCATTTGACTGTTGTTGAGTCAGGGGAGGGGTGGGTGGGCAGTTGCCCAGATACTGATATTGATCCAATGTTTACTTAGTAGTACTGATTGAAATTACTTTGAATTCAACTCTTTAGATTCAATGCCCTTAATACTGCAGCCTCAATCATATACACCCTAACATCAGTATGCATATTCTCCATACTGTTCTCTATACATTTCCTAACATGCTGACCAGGAGAATTTGTTTGAAAATCAAGAGTTGTTTTAGTTTATGATCATCTTTTTTTGTAGTCATGACCTTAACATGTGATTCAGAAGTGACACTGCGAGGAGAAATAGGATGTTAGTCACTCCTGGGAAATTTAACCTTTTAACTCCCAAGATCACATTACTAATTCTCCTTACTGTCTGCCATACGGTTCTTGTGCTGTTAGTTTGGAGAATTTGGTTTTGGATCAACTAATAGTTCCCTAATTAATGTTTTTCTTGATTCTCATTACTTGCCTGCTTGATATTGTATTGATATTGTCAGGAGAAATTCTGTCTTGGTCACTCATGGGAGTTACATGGTTGATGAAGTGGTTTCTCTTTACAGTTTTACAGCTTTACAGTATAAGCATTATCTAACATTAAATCTTCATTTTTTTTTAACTCTGTAAACCCAGGGATAGCTATCAAAGTGGACGCAATCC